CACTTGGATTTTCCACAACTCGATCGTGTCGGCCGCTTTCACATTTAGTTTCTTGTAGCCTGTCCGGACTCGAACTCAGTACTCTCCCCGATGTCGCAAACCCCAAAACCTTCTTTGCCTCCCTTGATCCCCTTCCACTCACAAGCCTCTTGCAGCTCCTTTGGTGGTGCCATGACCTCTTCCTCGGTCAACACCCAAGTACCCCAATGCATGCCTAGCGCTCTCCTGCATTTCGTGTCCACGAAGATGTTGACCGCATCTTTGGGGCTAGCATGCACGTTACTGAACATCCAACGAGGTTCGTAGGCGCCAATAGGGATAAGACCGAGATCGAAGGGGCCGCGATGTTGACCGATCTGTGAGAAAGCCGGGCAAGTGGGTAAGTGCGAGTACGCAGCCGAGTAGTCGTCTTCTGTGGTTGGAATGCTAGCCGGAACCGTGCGGTAGCCTGTGTCACTGGGTAGGGTCAGCATAAAGAATGAGTCATGAGTGTGGTACAAAGCAGACGTACCCAGCAAAGTAGACCTTCGCTCCGCCAGATTCCACACTCCAGCTTGCCCAAAGCGTCTTGGCCTTGTCGAAGGGCGTCCTTGCACTGATATGCTGACAAGGCAGCGCACCAATCGTTGCTGTAATACCACTAGTCTTGCCCATGTTCACCGAACTCACAGAAACAGAGCCAGCCCTACCCCCCTTTTGCGACAATTCCTCCAACTTGATATCTCTACTCTCCCACCAATCCAATTCTGTGACTTTCGTAACCCCGCTCTTCTCAAACCACTCTTTATTGCCTAGGGGCGCAAAGAAATGCGCCTCGGGGAATTTCTTTTTCAAGCGCTGGATTGTTGGGTAGCTTAAGTGATCGTAGTGATTGTGGCTTATAACTACTGCGTCGACAATTGGTAGATCTTCAATCTCACATGGAGGGGGCGTGTAGCGTTTAAGGCTCTTTATAGTGAACGGTGCACAGCATTCTTCAAAGACCGGGTCAAAGAGAACACGAAAGCCGCTCGGGAACTCTATATAGTAGCATGCGTGACCGAGCCATGTTGCACGAAGTCGTGGTGTCTCTCGGGAGGGAAGGAACATTGGTTTGTGGACTGGTACTGTCGGTGGCGAGGTGTCTGGATTGTGGGCTTGACCAGTAATCTTGCGCCTACCACGAAGTGTTAGTTCGCAACTTGTAAAGTCTTCGTAAAACTCCCGTATGCCGGACTTACCATAGCATACCCTTGATTTGCAGTTCCCAAGCACTTGACTCGATATAGCTATCCCACGGGTTCGTAAACCCCTTGCCGTTCTTCAGGTGATGTCTCTTTTCATCGGCTTCCTCGGGTTTCGCAGCAATCTGTGCTGGATTGCTTACCACGGCGTAAAGACCTACGCCAATACTTGCACCACCTATTGAACTCATCTTGAGCGTCCGAGCAAAGTGTGGTTTTTGCCAAAAGGGCTGACGTTTCCCCCAAACCTGGTAGTTTCGCGATTCACTGAGTAGCCTTCGTATGATGCGAGACGGAAGCGACAGGCGAGACATTGGATATATACACGCGTCTAGACTAACTCAAGCGGCCTAAATAGGAGCTATATTGTATTCGCGAAAGAGGAAAACAATGCGCGCCCACCCTCGGCCGCATTTCATGTGGTCGGCGAAAAGTTGGGCCAGACCGGAGATAGCCATCGTCGACGTTAAGGCCGTAGATGCATCCAAGTCGTCATGCAACTCGCTCGCTACTGGCCGGGCCCACCAGCCAACAACAGCATTGGATGAGCGGCTTGTCTCCTTGTCCGACTCTTTCGCCATGCGCGCACGCCCAAATTCGCTTGGGCAGACACTCTTCAGCTTGCGCGATCGCAGCGCACGATATATCGCGGTCGAATCGGCGGAACCCGATGTCGTCCGCATGACGCACGTCGCACGCCGCATATCCTGCGCCGCATGCAATACGCGGAGCTTGTACTAAACTGTGTCCACCCACGATGTCATTCATCTGAAAGAGAGAGTAGAGGTAATACATTCATAACGATAATGAAATAATGGGCCAAGCTGGATGGTACATCAGAGCTGACTAGATATCGCCAGTGCTGATAATTCGGAATTTGGCGATCACACCCACCTCAAACTCGCATTCCTGATGACTGACTGGAGGTGATGCCTGAACAGATCATACCACACAGTAGGGGAGTGTGAATACAGTGCCCATACCCGTGTAAGTGACGAAACACTGCCTCCATACTAACAGTGCATATCCCAATCTCGTCCGATAGCGATATCTTTGCAACCAAATCCCCTTGTGCGCTTCGGTATCTTCAAGTGATAGAAGTAACATCTACTACCAAGGTCGTTCCTCAATCGGCACTTCTCCTGTTGTTTTCCAATAGCTTATCGCATCTTGGTATGCTTTCTGGTAAGTCTTCCGTCGATCCTCCATTGACGGTCGGTCGGGGTTGTTCTGGTCGTAATCGTTTTCGATATTGCGGAACTCTGCGTCTGCGGGAAAGATCTTATCACCCGCAGCCGGCTGGATATAGTATACTCGCAAATCTTTGTCGACACGATTATCCTTGCTCCAGCGTAGCAGCGCGTCCAGATCTTGACATTGACGATTGTAGGTGAGCTCAGGTTCCGCCGCTGGCTCTCCTTCGACCCACATGTAGTTGAGAACATCGTACTGGACGTAGCACGTCAAATGATCCACCAAAGCGTGGAGACAATGCTCGGTATGGATCCAATCCATTGTATCGCTAAAAATGTGAAGATACGGAGTCAGTGTATATCTCACATGCAATTTGCGCGGCTACAACTTACTTTGGGTATCCGTAATAATTACGGTAAAGGCGCTTCCGGATGTGGTCGAGGCAGTGAATGTTATGTGGATGCGCGAATCGGGTGATGAACTTCTTTTCGCCGTAGCCGAAGCTTTGGGGGACACTGATATAGCGGTCTGGATCTTTGCCAAGGATGCGCATGTCGTCCTCCGTTATCAAGAATGGATAACCGGAGGTTAGCGCATGCCATGCTGCGTCAACTTCTGGACTTGGCGGTTGCTGCCAGATGGTTCCGTTACTTCCTGCGAAGACAGGAACGTTGGTATGGTTGGGGTGAGTGCTGCGATTGATTTCTTCCAAAAACGATGGCTCTATGTGATACTGTGTTAGTCACGTATTCAGCGACAGGAAGACCACGTACCAGATGAGCCCCGTTCATTGCGCAGGTATCCACTGTTGGATATCAAGCCAAAGACGAAGAACAAGATAGCCACCACAGCGTACCTCAAGCATGAGCAAAGCAGTGGGAGAGACGGGGCGGATTTGGGGCGAGCTTCACCGCTTGGACCTGTGGATGGCAAAAGCCCCTCTGACTCTTCGAGGTCTTCACTTCGAGGCGTTCTACGCGATGAGTGATTCATGTTGCTGGGTAAGCACTGAAAAAGTGTGAGAAACTATTACGTGCAATGCCTTCAGCATACAAAGTCATCGGGAGATAGCTGGACCCGCTGCGCGCTTTTGGGTGCAACAACGATAACGAGCATCACAATGAGATACTTGCGAACGACATCGCGGGACGGAGCCTTCGGAGCATCATCACTGAGGGGTACTGCATGCAGGTTGCGTAGGTACGGTCCTGCTTCGGCACATCCGCGGGCCTGTCGAAAGCTACCTAGGTACCACGTTAGAACTGTTGAAGGTTGAGTCCCGCGTCCGAAGCCGAAGCCGAAGACTGCGCGTTTTCTAGTCAAACTTTGTTGTTTCCTGGCTATTATGTCAGCTGAAGCCAACTACAAGAAGATCGACCGAAGATAATAACATCACCATTGGAGCGACACGCTACTATTGTGCAGTCTTTACGTACACGCCCATACTCTTCTCGCTCGTGAAGTATACCACTTCTCTCTTTTTAACCCGTAAAACAGGAAGAAAGGTACCAACCCACATGGAACGAATGCGGAGCCAGGACTCAGCTTAATCATAAGTATACAGGATCAATGTTCCAACGCTTCATGACTGTTCTCCAACAGTCGAGCATGGGCGCGGAAGCCGAATCTGAAAGCACCATAGAGGAGCGAATCGGCCTTACCTCACTCTACCCAAAGAGCAGCAAGGACACACCCAAGCCAAGGAAGAACCTCATCCTACGAACAGCTGCTGCCGTTCTTGTTGCTACCCTGGCTCTATGCGGAGCTTACGCGGTCGGAGCCCAAGCAATCGAAACGCTGACACGGGATGACGCCCCATGCCTGTGCGGATTCACAACTGCCGAGGGAATTTCGCGGAACTGCCAGTTCGATGAGATCGAGTTATGTTGGTTGAGGCCGGAATGCATTGACTTCGATCTCACGCATGAGTTCACGACAGCCTCTCGTTCTGACAAGGGGGGCGCCTGGCTATACCAGACAGAGCTGGATGGCAAGTACCGTCTTATCAACGGAACCGAGCTATCGATGCTCATCGAGCCCGGGAGGACCATATGGTTTACCTACGAGCAGCATGTTGTGCATTGCATCTTCTCGTGGAGGAAGCAGTTCCGACAGCAATTCACAGGCATTGTGATGCATATGACCGCATCGGATGAGGGTCATATCAGACATTGCGGTGAGATGTTCATGCTCAATGGTAAGTTGTGGCTATACGAAGTGCATGTGAGACATATACTGACTTCGTACCCCTACCTCTGCAGCTAGCTTGGAAGAGAGGCGAACCAAGCTGGTATACCCGTCTGAACTGTCCTCAGATTAGCTGGAGCTTCAGTCTATCTAGTTACATCGAGTGTATAGGAGCGATTAGCGCTCATCAAATGAATGCAGCATAATTCCGTCATAGACGATAGCTTCACTTTCAAAGTATCCGATTCGGTCAGAAGGCGCCTCGACAGATCCCAACGAATGAGTGGGGGTAGTTACAACACGGCAGTTCAGGTTGAGCATGCAGTTCGGCGGTAAGCTTTTGAGATACGCCATTATTCTGCTCACTCTCTCATACGTCCTATACGTAGCCTCACTATGCACTATGTTAGTGACAAACTTTACAATCAATGTTCAATCATGTTCAACCAAGACACGGCTCGGCCGACTACTATCAAACTACCCATCAGGTAGGGATAGGATAGTCATCGCACGGCAAATCAACGTAGTGAGTACTGGTTGATGGCACTTCGTTAAACTTTCAAGATATGCGTTGCTGCTCTGCCAGCTCTTTCGTAAGTTCAACAGGCCGCGTCACGATGCACAAGAACAACTCTATCAGCAGGTAAGTGTTTGATCATCGATGTCTTTACCAGTGGAGGGCGATGTACAAATAGCTGGGCAGACACCCCACAGAGAAATCATCTCTTGCCGTACAAACGCTTTGTATTGTGCAAGACGAATCTTCAAAAGCGATTCCCATCTTCTCGTTCGTACACAATTTTCAAGATGCACAAGAGCTTCATCATTCTCGTCGCGTTGGCTGGCTTGTCAGCAGCGACCGCTTCGCGTATGTCCTTCCCTGACCCACGGATAAGAAAGTAACTGTACTAAGTGTCGAAGCTCATGCAGAAGAGTTGAAGGACGTTAAGAAGCGTGACACCTACGTGGATCTGTTCAAGGACGACGGGCCAGCTCCTGCACCGGAAGAGGGTGGTGGCGCCTACAAACGCTCTGAAAGGGCCAATTCGGGGAAGCGTGACACCTACATCGATCTATTCAACGACGATGGGCCAGCTCCCGCGCCGGACGCTGGATCAGAGAAACGCGACACCTACGTCGATCTGTTCAACGACGATGGACCAGCTCCTGCGCCGGACGCTGGATCGGAGAAACGCGACACCTACGTCGATCTGTTCAACGACGATGGACCAGCTCCTGCGCCGGACGCTGGATCGGAGAAACGCGACACCTACGTCGATCTGTTCAACGACGATGGGCCAGCTCCTGCGCCAGACGCTGGATCGGAGAAACGTGACACATACGTGGATCTGTTCAAGGATGACGGACCAGCTCCCGCGCCGGACGCTGGATCGGAGAAGCGTGAGACCTAAGCTAATCTGTTCAAGGATCATGGAACAGCTCCAGCGCTGGAAGAGGTTAGAGAGCAGGGAATGATCGGGCCGCTCCAGTGGACGAAGGAAGAGTCGAGGACAAGGCGACTTGGTTCTAAATAAAAGGATGAGAATGAATCTAAATGTTTTTCTTTCCACACTGAACATCTTACCGTGCCTGTACTTGTTACGACCATGCAACACTACCGACTTCTGACATGTGCTTTTCTTGTGATTGCAACATATAGTGTGTCTATCACGTATCCAAGAACGCGTACTCCGTTGCACCCTCTCGAGCGTTCAATCAACGATGCCGAGGACTACTTCCAGTCTTTGGCGATTCAAGAAACGCACACATACGCACAGGCGGTAGAATCATATCGGCACCGACGCGGACGATGTCCGCCCCCAGGCTTCCGCGGCTTTCACGAGCGCCTCCAACAGTTGAAAGGGATATCAATCGAGCCATTCTGGGATCAAATCTATGACGACTTGGAGCCATTCTGGGGCATCACAGCACAGGCCACGCAAACTGCTGCGGCCTCGTTGGTCTCTCTCGCCGGGGTTCAGAAGAAAATCGAACGGCTCCAGGGTTTCTCATTCCGACGTGGAGAGGTCCGGGCCAATTGCCCGAGAGAGGACATGACCTGTGACGATCAACTGGGCTTGCTCAGAAGAATCGCTCCGTTGCTACCAGACATTGACGTGGCAGTGAGTGTGCATGCCTCGCCTCGTGTGCTCGTTCCTTGGGACGTCATGGACAGAGCCCGACAGCAGGCACGCCAGCATAGTCGATTAGTGTCACACTCAGCAGGCGCGCAAAGTCATATTCATGGAGGTGTCAGCAAGGCACTTTATGCCAGAGAGGAAGACGTCGTGAAAGGGTGGAATCGAGGTAAGCCGCAATATCGTCATATGCGAAGCTTCGCCAGCTAAAGTTTGGACCACACGTAGAGATTCCTCCATACTCTTTCCGCAGCATTGTCTGCCCTCCAAGAAACGCGTCAACCGATCACGTACCGCTTTCGGATTCTGCTGTTCAGGATGTGTGCATTCGACCAGAGTTGGCTGCTGTCCACGGCACGATGCTGGCGCCTCACCTGGTGTCGACATCGTCTACCCTTCTTCCTATTTTCTCGGCAACGCACATACGACACGTGAGCGCCGAAATCACGGTTCCTGACCTCCATACCTGGGTGGATATACCAAGCTTTACCCTCCCCGAACATCTGGTCAACTCGTCTATTGGTGTGGCGTGGTCAGAGAAGCGCAACAAGGCAAGATTTGGCTGTATCAGATACATATGAGACATGTACTGACTTCGTATGTTCGTCTCTGCAGGCTATCTGGCGTGGCTCCAATACCGGTGGCAGACATAATTCCTTGACCTGGATGAAGTCTCATCGCCATCGATTTGTTGCGTCAATGAACTCCACTTTTCTCAAGGCTGTTAGCAGTGGTCAGATCGACTGGGCCAATGCTTCTCTGAATCAAGCAGCACCCGAACCACCGCACTTTGAATGGATGCACGAGCATCTGGACGGTGCTTTTACACAACTGCGCTGCGCCGGGCGAGGCTGGGACGTCGGGAATGCCTGCAGCTACCTTGATCACCATTTCCGAACTGCAGCGCATACATCTATGGCTGACATGGCCACGTACAAGTACCTACCAGACATTGATGGCAACGCGTACAGTGGTAGGCACTCTTGTTCTCGCAAATGATGATATGTGGCATAACATCAGTTGTAGCTCGTTTCCGCGCATTGCTCATGACGGGCTCCCTAGTGTTGAAGGCCACTATCTTCGAAGAATGGCACCGCTCGCGGCTCGTACCGTACAAACATTTCGTCCCCTTCGACCTCGGCAGTCTTCCCGACCTTTGGCACAAACTCTGCTTCTTTGTCGGCGGATGTTGTCGAGGGAAGAGTTGTGAGAATCATGACAGGCATGCCGCAGCAATTGGCGAGGGCGCGGCGATATGGAGCCGCCGAGTTCTCCGTAAGGCAGATATGGAGCTATACTGGCTACGGCTATTGTTAGAGTATGCAAGAGTAGTGGATGAAAGAAGACACGTGCTATGCGAGCGGGACGATTATGAGTAGTCGTTCGGGAGAATATTCGGGAAGAAAGTGGTGTAGTTCGTCACATATGATCAGCCGCCAAACTTCTAAATTAGGAGAAGAATACTCTGCATTAAGAGATATTGAGATCAGTACGGGCTGGAGTGTAGAAGCCATGCCCAAGGCAGCCGCATTGCCGCGTAGCACATGATCTGAAGCTGTGTATGCTATGTTAGCAATGATGATATTGTACTCAATCTGGGCCTCGAAACAAGTTGAGCCATTCAATAAGACAAAAAAAACCTCCGAGGATTTCTGCGCGCGTGAAGATTCGATGTTTGTGTCCGTGCACGTGAGCGTGAGCGGCCGATCAGAACGCTGCCAAGCCACGGGCCCCGTCTCCTGGGCCCGGGCCGACAACATCCAAAACCCCAACAGCAGGGTGACGCTGGAAGCTGTCTGCAGCCATTCCGGGTTTTCTCACGACCGTCTAAGCAAAATTCGGACCTATGTAGGAACCTCTCGCATTACCCCTCTTTCTAGAACTGTACGAGCCGTCCACATAAGCGCTACGGGCCGTTGTCTTGATCGTTGACTTGGTAGACAGAGCTGAGCGCGATCTCGAGCAGGTGTCGAACGCATTTAGATATCGATCGGATCCGCAGTATGAATGAAGATGGTTCTGTAGATGAGGCGAGTGTGGCCCACAATACCTACCCGGGTGCTGAGCGACGTTCAGTTGCCTGGGGACATCGTCGATCATCACACAACGCACCAGGGTGTGCACATCGGGGAAATAGACATGTATTGTCGTCATGGGGGTCTTTCATAGGCGAGTTTAGATCTGGGGCTGGTCCACGAAAGCAAAGCAGCAGTCCTGTCTCATCGATTCGTTAGGTACCTCAGCTATTCGGGTTGCACTCGGCACATGGATGGTGCTGACGTACATAGAGTGATTATAAGAACCTTACAGCTGATTGCAATATCCAGTAGACTTTGTATGTTCCATCTATCTTGCCTAACATGAGAGGACTGTGGGTTTTAGCAGCTCTCTCGATTCCCACTCAAGCTCAGAAAGACCACGTTCATATCGGGCATGCCGATAAATCTCATGGCGAGGACTGGTATGACTGCGGTCCTTATGGAGGTAAGTCTTTACATGGGTAGAGTACAAACTAGGTCTATTAACGTCCGATTAAGGCTGGGGTTGTACTCCACCCCTGGGAGGCAGCGAATCGCCGCCGAAGAAACACTACTACGACAACAGCACTTTCAAGCAGTTGATAGACCACAACAACCCTAGCCTGGGGACTTTTGACCAGTTCTACTACTACGACACAACGTACTGGAGGGGTCCTGGTTCCCCGGTGATACTATTTTCGCCCGGAGAAGTCAACGCTACTATGTACCACAGCTTCTTAACCCCCAGCCATGCAACAGGAGCCCTGGCTGAGCAGATTGGCGCAGCTACAATTGTTCTCGAACATCGTTACTGGGGCGATAGCACACCATTCCGTAACTTCACCACTGAAAACCTGAAGTACCTTACTGTCGAGAACAGCATGAAGGATATAACATATTTCGCACGTCAAGTCCAATTACCTTTCGCTACCGACGAGAGAATTGGCAGCAGTGCTAAAGATGTTCCATGGGTAGCTATAGGCGGTAGCTACTTTGCTGCCCTGCTAGTGTGGATTGCAAGCCTCGACCCGGGCACCATATGGGCATACTACGCTTCGAGCGCATCAGTTCAATCTGTTTCTGACTATTGGGCCTACTTCCTTCCTATACAAGAAGCTATGCCGAAGAATTGTAGTAGAGACATCTCTCTTGTTATCAACCATATGGATGATATCCTCAGCGCTGGCTCTCGGGATGAGCAACACGAACTCAAGGCCAAATTTGGCATGCAAGACGTCGCTCATAACGACGACTTCATGAATGCTCTGGCGCGTGGTCCCTATCTCTGGCTAGGGAGTCAGTTCACATACAACACGGGCTTCTTCACGTTCTGCGACTATATTGAAAACGCAGTCAATGCCACCCTCAACGATCTTCCCTCTGAAGCTGGTGTTGGTGTCGATAAAGCGCTCGAAGGATACGCGGAATGGTGGAAAGAGGTCGAACTCCCTGGTTACTGCGCCGGGGATCTTTATCCTGAATTCAACACTACAGGTAATACTGACTGCTTCAATACCTACAATGCAAGCTCCCCACTATTCACCGACACGACGCCGAGGAACGCCATGAACCGGCAATGGTTCTGGATGAACTGCAACGAACCCTTCGGAAACTGGAAAGTCGGCGCTCCCTCAGGACGGCCATCGCTCATTTCTCGCCTCATAACAACAGACTACTGGATTCGTCAGTGCGGACTATATTTCCCCCCTGGACCGAATGGAGAAACATATGGTCTCGCAGCGGGGAGAACCGAAGAGCACTTCAATACGTACTTTGGGGGCTGGAATATCACCAACACAAGCCGGCTGATCTTCGTCAACGGCGAATTCGACCCGTGGAGAGAGATCAGTGTTTCGGCAAAAGGGAGACCCGGAGGTCCGTTGCAGAGTACCGAGCAGGTACCAGTGGAAATTGTGCCTGACGGTGTTCACACTAGTGACTTGAATACGAAGAACGGAAAGGTCAACGCGGGAGTGAAAGAGGTGCAAGATCGAGTGTTGAAGCAGTTAGTCGGGTGGGTTGAAGAATGGCCTGGGGAGGCCACATGATCAGCTATGCACATTGGCTGGCACGCAAGTACCTAGATACTTGCTACTACCGAGAGCCCTCCAGGCTACCTTTCAACACTTATACGACGTGATTTCCGATAACAACATTCCTGTCAATCATGAAGGAAAGCGTGAAGTCGATCTCGCCGCATTCCATTGTGGTTCTATTATTATATAAACTCATGATACAGACGCGCTCTGGAAGTTC